AACCATATTTGGAGAATGCTCAGGTTCCTCGTTCAAGCATCTGTTACATTTGGAAAAGATTTATATTTCTTGGGAACGCTATCCAGTCTATGAGGATCTATCCGTCCCACGCTGCTTTCACTGCCAAGGTTTTTATCATATGAAGCAAGACTGTACAAATAAACTTGCCTGTCCGCTTTGTAGTGAAGAACATGAATATAGAGACTGTCCAAAACAAAACCAAATGTGTGTAAACTGCTGCCATTCTAATAATAAATACAAAACAAACCATGATGTTAATCACGAAGCAAATAACACCCAGTGTCCCACGTTACAATTTCATATTGATTTATTAAAGAATAAAATTGATTATTCTTCATAATGGTTTTAAACAATCAAGATATTATACTAGACAACCTAGAACAATTAGATCAAGATCATCGTGGTGACTATATCCATCCTGGAAAATGTGAAACTCTTCTAGCATCTTCGGATAAATGTTTAAATATTATGCATTTTAATATACGGAGTGCAAATAAAAATTTCGATAATTTCATTACTCTGGTTGAGGCGTACAAGCTGATGAACTGTGACATCTTTGTGTTGGGTGAGTGCTTCCAGGGAGTAGCTTCTGAGAACCTCAATATTCCTGGTTTCGTGACAGTTCATAGCGGCGGAAGTTTCAATAGAAATGATGGAGTATTAATTCTTATTAAAAACAGTTTAACTTTTAATGTATTGAATCAAAAACTTGATATGTGTGGTGTGACCCTATGTATTACATGTATAGAGATATATGGTATGTATTTTAGAATTATTGCTTTGTATAGACCCAATCCAAGTAACTTGATCTCATTCATTGACGAAATTGATATATACCTGGAAAATTCCAAGCAGCTAAATGAGGTCGCAATATTTATAGGAGACATAAACGTGAATCTTTTAAATGACAGTAATGTTAGTGTCAATAGATATTTATCGGTACTAGCCAAACATGGTTTTTTACCCTATATTTTAAACCCTACTCGTATTACACTAGAAAGTCAGTCATGTTTAGACCATATATTTTTAAAAAAATCAACCAAGTTCCAAAATTTAAACTTTAACTCGTACATTGTGGAATGTGACTTTACAGATCATTATCCTATTTTTATGAGTATACATTTAAAATCTAGAACCAATTCTCTTTCGGAGAACCTCATTAAAAAGCATATAAAAATAGATAATAGAGCACTAAAAACATTTTTGAAAAATGAAAATTGGGACCATATATTGAGCATTGATGACCCACAATTAGCCACCAATAAATTCTCAAATACTTTCAGTAGTTTTGTAGATAGAGCAAAAATTGAAAAAATATTTACCAAAAAGAAAAAAAAGATAAAGCCATGGATAAGCGAGGGCCTGATCATATCAATAAAAAATAGAGACAAAATGAAAAAAATATTGACTCGACATTATTCCCATGCACTAGAGCAGCAATATAAAACATACAGAAACGAGTTAAATAGGCTCATAAAAAAAGCAAAAAATGACTTCTATCAAAATCAGATTCAAAATAATAAACACGATCTTAAAAAAATTTACCGAATAATTTCAGAAGCTACAAATGAGAAAACTCGCTCAGAAAATTCATTGCACCTCATTAATGATGAGGGTCTCCTTTTAACAGACAATAATCAGGTGGCAAATCACTGTAATAATTACTTTATTAATGTTGGGTTGAATATGTCAAAAAAAATTGAACCTCCAGTGAACTTTTCTGAGAGACACATTTCAAACGCAGATTCGATGTTTTTGAATCCTGTAACAGAGAATGAAATAATAAAACAAATATCCACGTTAAAAAACTCCTGTGCTCCTGGTATTGACGGAATTACTACTGAAATGATAAAGGATAATCATCAATATATTCTAAAGCCCCTCGTTCATATAATTAATCTAATTTTTACTAAAGGAATTGTTCCAACACAGTTTAAAACTTCTATCGTAACCCCTATTCATAAGGCTGGTGATAAAAAAAAGATTAGTAACTATAGGCCAATAAGTGTGATGAGCAATTTTGGAAAAATTTTTGAGAAGTGCCTAAAAGTCCGTCTGGTATCATTTTTGAATAGGTACAATATTTTGCACGAGTGCCAATTTGGCTTTCGCGATGGCAAATCTACAAGTGATGCCATGTATTCTGTTTTATTAGAAGTACTGGAATGTTTAGACACAAACAAGAAATGCATCTCTGTTTTCCTTGATTTGGCGAAGGCGTTCGATACTGTTAACCACGCTAGACTTATTAGTACTCTAGAGCGCTCTGGGATACGTGGCTTGGTGTTGGATGTCTTTCGGAGCTATTTGACAGATAGAATGCAGTATGTCAGGATCGGTGATGCACTTAGTAATCCAGAAAATATTAAAATAGGCGTTCCCCAGGGAACAGTCCTTGGACCCATACTCTTTTTGCTTTATATCAATTCATTGTTATCTGTTATTACTGACGTAAAAATTGTTGCATACGCAGACGATACAGTGGTAACATTTAAGGGTGCAACATGGGAGGAAACCAAGTTGGCTGTGCAAATGGGCATGGAAAAAATTAAAAATTGGCTAAACTTCAACTATTTGTCGCTAAACGTTGATAAAACACACTATCTTGCCTATACTCTATCAGATGCTAACAAGCCAGAGTATAATAGTATCAGTGTTCAGGGCATGGATGAGCATATCGAGGAGGTGAGTGAGATTAAGTACTTGGGCATAATTTTAGATAGGAATTTGAAATGGACGAGTCATGTGAACTACCTTACAAAAAGAGTGAGAAAGCTTATCTACAAATTTTATCAGATGCGTGATTTTCTTTCAGGGAGTTTACTTTTATTAATTTACAAATCTCTTGCTGAATCACTGTTTTGTTATGGCATTTTGGTTTGGGGAGGAATGTATGGTAACGCACTGCAAAAACTGAATGTAATTCAAAACTACATATTGAAGATAATTTATAGAAAACAAAGAAGATATACTACTAGTCTGCTCTATACAGAGGAGGTATGTAATATTCGCACCTTATACTTTCATAAAATATGTATCCATGCATTCAAAAATTTCCCTACTCAAATTCAATGTAACTCTGTGTATCAGACTCGTAGTACATCGAATGAGTTATTGTCAACTCGTAGATTTAATAAAGGTATTTCCCATAGATTCTTCATTTATACTGTCCCTAAAGCTTTCAATATATTGCCAATGGAGATCAGAAAAATCCAGAAATATAAATTATTTGCAAGGGAATCGAAAAAATATATTTTTCATAATTTGATAGCATTTGATAAAATTTTGAATTAAGTAGTAGTAGTAGTACCAACCAACCTAAGCTACTGACTTTCTGTTTTCTTTTAGGTATATTGCACATTATGTATATTATGTACACTTCACCGTATTGTAATTGTAACTATAAATTAACCATTCTTAGGTATAATAAATTTGTAATCTAGTTTATAATCTCAGCACAACACAAGTGTTAAATCACTTAGGTGCTTTTTGAAGAAAAAAAAAAAAGATGTATTGTACTTCACATTGAATATTTATATACCCATTGTATACCTCTGTAGTGTGAAATAAATAAAATAAAAAAAAATGTGCCTCCTAGGACTTTGCGTGGACACAAAACTTTTGAAGTCAATCAACATCGTACTCGTTATGGCCAAAATGCGGCAATTGATAGAATGATGAAAAATTTTAATGAATTGCAAATGGAGTTACAAGTTGACTTATTTAGTGTATCCGAAATGAAACTAAAGAATTGTCTGAAACAACTGTGATATTATAGGTAAATTTTCAAAAAAAGCAGGGAAAAAATGTAAAGATGGGAATCTTAAATTTGGAAGTTGTATAGGTCTTTTTTATATTTTATATGTTTTATATTTTATATTTATTACTTTATATTTTTTTTTTTATATTTTGTTGGCAGATGTGATAGTCCAATTTGTAGATGTTTCATATAGTATATATTAAATTGTTTAATTGTTAGAATCAGCTTTAAAGCTGTAAAGTTGTAAAATGGTTTACCGTTAATAAATAAATAAATAAATAAATCCTCAAAACTTGAAATCGATATTGATATTCATGCCTGAACTAGAGCTTGGTCAGTAATCTCGTGGTCACCCGGTATATGGTATTATCATCAAAAAACTGCCAATAAAATCAAAAATTGACTTGTCCGAGGTTTTTTGAAAAATATCCATCCTGTATATTTTATAGATTTTATTCCAACCTTTATGTGCTCACTGTATAAAAATCATAACATCAACGATTTGAATGAAACTAGGGAAAAACTTACTAATAATAGCAAGAAACAAGCCAAGGAATTGTCTCAGACATAAGATACTTTCAATCTACATGTGCGAAGGTAAAGGACCCCGCAATATTTAAATGGAAATTGGTTACCCGTGATATTTGGATGAAATTTAAATATTTTATTGGGGATGCCGTAAGCAACATTTTTTGCCATGGGCACAACCCTGTATATATGACAGGTGAGGCGTTGGTACCTGTCAAATATTGGAATCTTATATCCAAAAGCAGAGTGACTATGGCAGATGAACGAAGTATTGATATCTACTAAGTCGAAAAATGTCAACCATTTTGACACCTGTCAAAACCCTGCCAAACAGCAGCACTCATCTTTTCCAGTTTTCAATATTTTATGATGTCATTTGACATTTTTAACTTGTATGTAAATTCTGAATTCAGAAATTGAAAAAAAAAAGACAGAACTGTCAAAACCTGTCATCTTTTTTTTTTATGCATCCGAGAAAGAGCCATCCGACGGACTAAAACACACGGAGTATGACAGGTGTGAAGTGTTCTAAAAGCTTCAGACTCTGCACCCGAAAGCGGCTAAGGATGTACCATGAAAATTTTTTGTCCTGACCTGCCTTGGCAGTCTGTTTTAAACTGTTCATAAAATACTTGTTTAAATAATGCAATGCAAAAATAAAACCATTCTATAAGTCCAAGGTTAATTATCATGTATTTATCACAAAAAAGGAACTTGTTTTTACAAAACAAATAATTTAAATTCAACTAACCAAAGGCATATTACTATGCTTTTCTATAGTTACATTATTTTTAGCCAGCTTTTTATTTCTTAAATAAATCCCTGAAACAATACCACAAAACAATATACACCCCACCCAAGTATTAGAGATAAACTTTTTACCACAATCAGAGGTATTATTTATATCAAGAGTACTTATTTGATGGGCTAAATGACTAGAAACTAAACCTAAAGCAGCATAATATGGCCACGTTTGTGAATTCATTACTCCCGAAAATGCTAGCGAACTTATCATAGCAACAGAAAACCCACTTAACCACAATTTGGTATCTTCATTAAACTTAATGGCAGTCGATTTGATACCTATACTCAAATCATCAAGTCTATCCTGATGGGCATAGATCGTGTCATAAATAATAGTCCAGCAAACGCCAGCGAAATATAATGGTAAACAAATTGAAGGATCAATATGACCCTTAACGGCACTATAACCTAGTAAAGCCCCCCAGTTAAAAGTAAAACCTAACATTAATTGTGGCCAATAAGTTATTCTTTTCATTAAAGGATAAGTTATAACTAAAGCCATCGAACTTGCACCTAAAATAACACTATACCAATTAAGTTGTAATAAAATAGTTAATCCCACACTTAGCTGGCCAGCTAAAAATATCCAAGCTTTTTTCATTGAAATATCACCATTCACTAAAGGCCTGTCTTTTGTTCTCGTAACTTTGGCATCAATATCTCTATCCCACATATCGTTAATCGTACAGCCAGCTCCTCGCATCACAAACGCTCCGGTACCAAAAAGTGTGAGCAGATAGAGATCCGGAACGCCTTCGGCAAGAGTTGCCGAGGCTATGCCCCATCCACTAGGCCAAAAGAGTAGCCACGAACCGACGGGTCTGTCCCATCTCATTAGCTTTAAATAGGGCTGAATATGTTTGGGGGCACTGTTCACTAGTTTGTTGGCAAGTTTTTCCTTTGGTATTTGTTCGGATTTGAAATCCGCCGACGTCGCGGTGCATTTGAATTGGTAGATTTGTTTAAATTTGTGTTTTGAAACTGATTTGATAACCTCACTTTTGGTGGCATGTTTCAAGGCGATAAATCCATTGATTCGCTTCAGGGATTGCAGTGTAAACATCTTAAACTTGTTGGAATTATTATAGAAGAGATCTTGTAGAAGTTTTATTTTTCAAATCCATTTTTATTTAATTTAATTTTAAATATAAAATATTTATCCCCTACTCCTCACTTTCACGTATTTTTTAGACTTTGACACTTCTTTGACTTTTGAGTAGCTAGGGATGCGCATTCTGGGCCGAGATTCTAAAATCACGATTCGACACACGACTCGACAACGATACCGGCCTTGTCGTGTCGAAAGGTATAATTCCAATGAGATTTCTAACCTAGAATCATCGGAAAAATCGTCTCGTTGTCGAGTCGTATGTCGAATCGTGATTTTAGAATCCCCGACCTGATTCGACGATTGATGTTCGTCATCGATATTAATAATATCGAGTATTAGTTGTATTCCTTTCACACCTAGGAGGAGCTCCGGAACAGCTCCGGGGCTTCACGCGCTTATTCCTTTCGAAAAGTGTTTGTTGCACCACGCATATGTTCCCTGCAAATCGGGGGCGACTAAGCACCGAAGCGAGTAGCTCGAGTGTTTCAAGCTCTTGAAAGGAATACAACTATTGATGCCCACACATTTCGATGTTCTTAGAGCGGGTTTCTCAATAGTTGTTTTCCTTTCACACCTAGGGGGAGCTCCGGAACAGCTCCGGGGCTTCACGCGCTTATTCCTTTCGAAAAGTGTTTGTTGCACCACGCATATGTTCCCTGCAAATCGGGGGCGACTGAACACCGGAGCGAGTAGCTCGAGTGTTTCAAACTCTTGAAAGGAATACAACTAATAGCGAGTCACCTCCGGGTTAGTTTTATCCGCAGAGTACGCGTGTCTAGTTGTTATGTTTACCCTAGAGTTATGCTTAACCCGGGGGTGACTCGCTATTGAGAAACTGGCCCTTTCTGAATTGGGAATATTTCTTTTTTTCCAGAGGCAAAAGTGATCATTATTTCTGGCTGCATCAATAGTAAGCGAAATAAATAGCTGGAAACTTCTTTTTTTTTTTCTGTTCGGAGCGAAGCGAGTTGATTTTGCGCGCGTTTCAATATGTATTACTTTCGGAGCATTCTGAGCGCATTGCCCTGATTAAAAAGAGTGATCGCCGATTTTTCAGGAGGAAAATTTCGATGCTCTTGCTCGGAGTTCATCTGAATAAGAATCTCACTCGCTCCAATCGACTCCCCGGACTGATATTGGAACGTAATCATCAAAACTACTAGTGGCGGGTAATAATTTTTTAACTCTAATGGGCAACCTTTAACCACAGATTACCTTTAACGTTTCTATTTTTTGAATATTTCTTTATCTGCTATTTTCAGGATTGAACACATTTCCACATTGATCCTTTTTTTTCTGGCTTGCTTGAAGCCTTAAATTTCTTCTCCCAAGGTCATTTTTTTTCTCAAATACCCGCTCTATTTCTTAATTTTTTGTCTCAATTCTTTTCTATTCCAGGCTTTTGAATTTTCATTATTTTTCTTTTTATCCTAATTTTTTATTTTATTTTGTGACTTCTTTGGCCGCGTTCAGCACAAATTACTTTCTGGGTAGTGACCGTCACGCCCGAATTGTTAACGCTCATTCGGGGCCGGTTTCTCAAAAGCAAGTCACCCTCGGGTTGAGCTGAAGCATAACTCCAAAGTAAACAGTCCAACTGGATACATTTACCCTGGAGTTAAAACCAACCCGGAGGTGACTCGCTATTGAGAAACCGACACTCGGTCGGTTATAGTCGGCTCGAGTCGAATTAAGAATTAAGCTATGCAAGAGAAAAAACATTCAGTAGTACGACAGAGAGAGAGATAGCGCGATTGGGATTCAATCCAGACTCCCCCTAGAATAAATTTTGGCGAAGCTGCCGATATCATAGCATAGCAAAATGTTAATTGTTTATTGCTTGTAATAGGTTGTCTAGTGATGGCAAACAGATGACGTCATCAGGTGGTTCCTATGGAGATTTGCATTATGTTTAGGCATACCAATGACAAGGATAATACACACTAGTAAGGATTGCTTATCAGCCCTTTTCTGGCAATAGGGCATGTCCATGTGACGTCACAAATGAGTTTGACAGCCGCCCTGCGGTAAAACAAATCATTTATTTACATTCGTGTAGATTATGCCGGTTATGTTTTCGCAGCTTTTTTACAAGTTTTTGTGTTATTTTGTTCTAAAAAAGTGTTTGTGTTCCAGTCTATGTGATCTTTTAGCTAAAAGTTTGCTAGGTTTTCCTATAATGGATTAAATTCAGGTTTTTTCCAACAAAATATCAAAACTTAGTGTTACGAGAACAAATATATAAGTATAGTTACTCTATATTTAATCTATTTTTCTGTCAGATCTTCTCTTTTAAGAGCATTAATCAATTTTTCTCTTCTTTCTTGAGCTAACAAATCAAATCTCCCATCGTTATTTAAAATTGATGAAAACCTATGGAAGAATATTGTATCCCTTGCGCTATACTGCCACAATTAACAACTAAACCAGTTCTAGGCATGTCCAAGAAACTTCTGAATCACACAAAAGGTATTTATTTTAAAAAATCCAACTAAAAACTTGAAAAACACTGCAAATTATATCTTTGTTTTATCTCAAGGCGACTGTCAATAGTGTCAAACTGTCAGATCGTGTACTTGCCCTACTTGCCCTATTGCCGCCATATTGGTGTAACACCATTGTCGACGTCATTAACTAAGTCTTCAGCTATTTGCGCCAGCGGTCGTAGTTTATAATTTAAATTTATGATGAAAAATATTATTTAATTTTGATTAACATAATAGATATTCGATTAGGGCGGGTATTATGAAACTGCTTTGACAGATAACTTGAAGTTAACTTTTTCAATTACATGTAATTGCAGAAGTTAACTTTAAGTTTACTCTCAAAGTAATTTTATAATACCCACCCTAAAAGGGGCATTCGATCTAACATAATAGACAAAGAGGAAGATGAAAACGAGATCTAAAAAAGAGTTGTTTTGAAAATTAATGTAGTAAAACCAAGTTATACATAAAGCCAAAGCCCGCGGAATCATAACCTGTGCTGCAAACACCCTTTCGTCAAGGCGAGAAACGACATGCTGCTACGTTATCTCTGGTGCTTTTGCATGTGGGAGGGCTTGAGATTTGAACTGCACAGGCCTTATGAGTATAGGCTATCCTGTAGTAGTGGTGTGTAGTAGTGTAGTGTGTATTATCCTTGTACCAATGAGGTATATGACGTCATAAAAGAACCTTGCAAGCAACCTACCTCTTTTAAACTACCTTAATACAAACCACAAATGCCAGGATTCAACATAGCGGCAATTGTCAAGCATCTGTGATGTTTATTTAACCCAACACACTACTACTACAGGATAGCTTATCCTTATAAGGCCTGTATAGATCAAATCTCAAGCCCGCACCACGCCAAAAAACCAGTGATGGCGTAAGTAGCGTGTCGTTTCTCGCCTTGACGTAGGGTGTTTGCACCACAGGTTATGATTCCGCGGACTTTTGCTTTAAGTTTACTTGGTATTACTACATTAATTAACATTTTAAAACAACTCTTTTTTAGATCTCGTTCGCATCTTCTTCTTTGCCTATCATGTTAATCAAAACTGAATATTTTTCATCATAAAATATTCTAAACTACGACCGCTGGCGCAAACCGCCGAGGACGTTGTTGATGACGTCGTCAATGGTGCTACACAATGACTATGTTCCGATATCAACTGTCAGTACTGAATTTACTGGACGCCGTTCCGATATTATTTTCAGTAGACTGATTCAGTACTGAATGACGTTTTAAATGCTTCAGTGACGTCATTAATATTTAATGGACGGGGATTCTAGAATCACGATTCGATACCGAGACGATTTTTTCCGACGATCCTAGGATGGAATCTCATTGGAATCATACCGTTCGAGAAGACAGGGTCGGTATCGAGTTGCGTCGCGTTGTCGAGCCGTATGTCGAATCGTGATTTTATAATCTCCCTGCTGCACCTTTTTCTCCAGCAAAACAGTACGCTGTTGAAATCGGGACGGCAAATGACAGTAAAATTAGCACAGTAGTTGATGACGGAACATAGTCAATATAGCCACGATTCTCAAAAACGAGGCCGATAAGTAATCGTAGTATGTATTATCCTTGAGTGTCTCTAGTACGAGCAGACTAGCTCATCCGAACTGTTCCTTTTTTTCTGTTCGGAACGAAACGAGTAGATCTCGCGCGCGTTTCATTACATCTCAGAGCATTCCGCATCTTCCTCTGAATTAAAAAGAAAGTTCGCCGATTTTCCAGACTTTGTTTCTATTTTTCAATTATTATTTCTTTATCTGCTATTTTCAGATTACATTTCTACATTGATCCTTTTTTTTTCTGGCTTGCTTGAAGCTCTTAAATTTCTTCTCCCAAGGTCAATATTATTTTTTCTGAAATACTCGCTTTATTTCTTAATTTTTTGTACTAATTCTTTTCTATTCCAGGCTCTTGAATTTTTATTATTTTTATTTTATCCCAAATATTCCTTATTTTTTTTTTAAGTGACTTCTTTGGTCGGATGCAGTCGGCTCGAGAATTGCTTATTGCTTGTAATAGGTTGACTGGTAATGGCAAACCGATGACGTCATCAGGTCGTTCTTATTGAGATTTGCATTATGTTTAGCCATACAAATGACGTCATAAACTTATCCGTTGTAAAGTTATAAACCTACCTTTTTTGATCCACCTTGATCCAAACCAAGGACACTAATAGGACTGCTTATAGCTAAAAGTGTCTACCATTTCAGCCGATAGCTGCAGACCTGAACTGTTAGAGTAGAATGTAGAATGCATTAGCCAACTTAAAAAGTCAAAAACACTCTGGGTCAAAAAAAAGGAATTCTGAAAAGTTCAGGGTTGGATGGGACAACCGGGCAAATGCCCGGTGGGGCCGCAGGCCCGACGCGTCTTAATTAATAATAAAATTTTAAAATTTATATATTTGACAAAAACATCATGAAAACTATCAAAAAAATATTAAGGCTCTGGTCCGAATATAACCAGGGTTGTGGTTTCGCGGTCCGAAAGCGATCAAATTACTCTGGTACCTGGAAAAGTGGTTACTTTTGGACCTTGGTTTCCTGAAATCTGGTTAACCAAATGTCAAAATAGT